ATTCTAACGAATTTAATTTTTGAACATTTTTTAAAACTCTAAATAGAATAATTATATGTCTGTCATAAAAATTTTCTAAACTAAATTATTAATTTATTATTAATGCAAACTTAATTTATTATTGAACATTTTAATTTGTTAGTTCTCGGCTTCTTGATTAAAAAAATATATGTAGCGCCCGGAAAGGAGGAGGAAAAAAAAAAAAAAAAAAAAAAAAAAAAAAAAAAGAAAAAAGGGGGGCCACGTCAGCAGCCACGTCAGCAGGCCCGGTCAGCAGGGGCCTGCCACGTGGCAAGATCGCGTCACTCCGAAAGGAGCCACGTTGGCGATCCGCGTGGGTGCGATCCGACGGCCCAGATCAATCACGCGATCGGACGGCCCAAATTCAAACGCACGGACGGCCCAGATTCAATCAAAAACGAACGGCCCAGATTAAAACGAAACGAACGGCTGTGATCAAAAGGCAAGGGGTTATAAATAGAACCCCCACACCAGACCAAAAACCCTAGCCGCCAGCCGCTCGCCGGAGAAGACGAACCAGAGGCCGACCGCCGCCACCCGCCGCCACTCGCCGCCGCACCGGGGAAATTTCCGACCGCCGATCGAGGTAAATTTCATACCCCCGACTCGTTTTTCCCCACTGATTCCTCCTATGGCCAAATCGAAGCCGAAATCCCGGCCAAACGGCCGGAATACGCGGCCGAAGCCCAGCGGCGCCGCCGCGCCCCCTCTCGGTTTTTGCCTCCGACGAGGCCCTTCCCGGCCTCCGTTCGATGCAATTTTTATATCACCGTGATCACCATTCCTTTCTCTACAGGTTGACCGAAGCCAAATCACCAAAACACGAACTTCGCCGGAGAGTCGCCGTACCCGAGAGCGCCGCCGCCGGTAAGCTCCGCTTTTCCGTGATTTTTTGGCCCCCCGAGGGCCCTAGGGTTGTTTTCTGACAAGGACCAATGCGAGTGTGGCCGAATTCGGCCAAAAACGGCCAAAAACAGTCAACCCGAGGCGACTCGCCGCCGCCAGCGGCGGCGCCGTCGCCGGAGCACGGCGGAGCCGCCGTGCCGGAGTTGCGATTTGGGCCGAAAGAGGCCCTGGGCCTAATTTGGATTTTTTTTGGAACCCGTGCAGGTACTGTTAGCGTGTTTCAGTTCCCCGGGAAAAAATTCAGGGAAAATTAGGGACAGCTGCAGCGCACTGTGAATCGTATCGGATCCCGAAAACAAGTAAGGACCCTCACCCTATTCTATCACGGTATTAAAGTTCAAAATGATAAAACGGTATTTCTTGAATTAACGCATGTGTGAAATTGCTTAAGGTTGCTAATGGAGCCCGAGTCTAGTGTGATTAATGATTTACTGTTGTTTGGCATATTTTACACTGTTTTACAGCTTTAAATGCATTATGGGGTTTGATGTGTTCATTTTATAATTTCGAATGCATATATTACTGTTTTATTAATTATGGGTTGAATGACTGAAGAACTGATACTGTATGTTGTCTGTTCGGCATGAATTACGATTTGCTTGTTTAAATGTGAATTGATGATGCTTATTGAGGAAAAGGAAAATGAAAGATTGTGTAGACTGATAATTGTATGATGGGGTCAGCCTGACTAGATATCCTGGGAGATGGTGGACGGACCGGGTCCGTAGGGAACCCTACCGGGATTGTGGTCTCACATGCCGGACGGGGTATGGAGATCTTATGGTTTTGGCGCCCATACCGGACGGGGTATGGGGACGACCCGTTTCACCCTCATACCGGACGGGGTATTGAGGTTTATGGTTTTGGCGCCCATACCGGACGGGGTATGGGGACGGTCCTGGAAACTGATTATGAATGTTAAAGGTTAACGGGTAGCGGAACCCCTATGGACCCCCACGGATACTAGTAGGCTGGTAAATGAGAAAAAGATATGTTGTACAATGATTGAATTACAAGAGGCGTGATAAGTGTTATGTTTTACAGCTTAGATTATTCAATGATTATGATAATGTTATTGTTTTTCTCATATTGTTTTCATAAATTCCACCAAGGTAAGTGGATGGTAAAGGTTTTCATGTTAATAAACGAGTTTGTTGTAAATTATGCTCCATTGGTCTTTTTTGTGTTTTTCTACCCACCTTTATCTCCGTGACGGTGAGATATCGTGATGTTCTTACTGGGCTAGTGTAGCTCACTCCTTAATTAACCATTTCAGATCAGGAAGACATGGTTCCCGAGCCCGTTCCGCAGGAGGACGACGAAGGGGATGCCTAGAGACTCTGTAGTCATACGCATAGTTTATTTTCGAGTTTTCTTTCTTAGTTAGTTTAACCTTTTATATTTTAAGTACGTTTTTTTGGTTTTTCGTGTAAGGGATGTTAACTGAAATTTTGATCTCGCTTCCGCATTCGATATATTTAAATACTCATTTCTTTTTTATATTTTCCGGGGCCGTTACAATATATGTTTTTAAACTAATCTAATTTAAAAATTTAATTAAACTTTTATTAGAAGATGAAAAAGATATTATGATATGTCTTCAAAACTAGACAATGATATGGACCATGTATAAAATGCAAATAGTATTAGTATAATTTATCGTACATAATTAATTAAACAATTAAATGATTTCATGAGAGAAGTTTTTTCTTTTTTTAAGAAAAAAAATTAAAAAAATTTATATCGATAACATTTTGGATTTAAATTTGCTTAATCGAATATAATGAAATATGACTTTTTTTTTATAGTTAAAGTATTGATTTAGGTTAGAAAAAAATTGGATTAGATTAGGTCATGTTTGATATTTGAAAATGTGTTCAAATCCGATCCATTATGTATACATATTTAAATTTTTTTTTATTATAAATATGTTTATATTTATATAAATAAATAAAATATATTATAATAATAAATGTAATAATATTTATGTTGATAGATATAATTAGTAAACATTATTTTTATTAATAAATATATATTTAATTTTATTATAATTATATTTATATTAATATAATAGGATTATCAGATTGATTTGGAATCAAATAACTAGTAAATGGGGCCTAAAAAAATAAACAAAATAAAACTTACTCTAGCATCCGAACCTGTCCCATGAAATATCCGAAAAATTTCATATATTTTTATTTTATATTTTTATATTTTGTATAGATATTACAGAATATAAATTATAAATTATAAATTATAGAGAGAGCTCGTAGATTTTTTCCATTGTGAAAAGGAAAATTTCCATGAAAGCCCCTCAAGTGATTCTAATTTTATAATCCTTACTCCTTGAAGCTACCGGTTACAAAAGTATAACAAAACAGTGAAAAAGATGATCCGTTTACTGGCTTCTAAGATCAATTAGATCGCCGTGTTTGATCGTAAGAGCTGAGCAGATTCATTTATATGGAATTTGGGATTGGATCTGTTGTTGTCGGTTTTGATCATCGTGCAAATCTAACAAAATGGCGGCTCCGCCTCGGCTCTATTCCTTCTCGAC